TATAGCCAGGTGTGAGGTTGGCTGATGGAATCATAGCCTGGGCTGGGCCTTTCTTAACCCAAAAGTCATGATGGAGCCTCTGGGGCTGTAAAGGATGTTCTAACCTGCCTTCCGGTTATTCCAACCACCCATGCCCCTGACAGGGTCTGTGTGTGTGGAGGCCATCCTGCAGCTCCTCCTTCTCTGTAACTTCAAAACGGATGGGAGGCACGCGGGGAGGGTCTCATCTGCCCAACTCCAGCAGATCCTGTCCAGAACTGACCTGAGGGGTTTAACGGGCGATAAGAAGCAATGAGGGTGACTTAGAGCCATACTGTGGGGAAATGAAATGTGTGTCCTGGATTTGAGTGTAGAGAGGAAAACCTTGGTCTGAATCCAAGCCACACCACATCCCTACCAGGATGTTTGGGCAAGTGGTGCTCCAAGCTCTTGATTGGAGGCAAGGTGAGTCACAGCGCTTAACACAGGGGGTCACTGTGGGGTGTAAATGAGGTGGCACATCCTGGCTGTAGCTGTGAATAATCATCTGGCATCAACACACCTTCCTGCAGCCACATCTGCTCATCCTCCATGCACTGCCCCTCCTCTTCACCTGCATATGCCTCCACCACCCCACATCCCTCACAAGTATCTGAGAAGAGGCCCGGGGCATTGACTTTCATGGATTTTAGGTTGAAGTAGAGCATTTCAGGATGATGGGGGTTCCGTGGAGGGAGGAGGCAGGGCTTTCCCAAAACGTGTCTTCTGTGATCGCTGACCACCGAGCCGCCTGGCTGTAGCCTACAGGATCGCACCTACACTGCAGGAGGCCCGTGTGAAGCTCATCAACCTCGACTTATGTAACTCCACCCAGTGGTACAACGGGCGCATTCGTTCAACCAATGTGTGTGCAAGGTACCCTGAAGGCAAGATCAACACCTGCCAGGTAACTTCCCTCCGGGCGCCCCTTTCCCTGCCAACACCTCTTTTGTGAATCCCTGAACTGCACTCCCTCCAGGGCCCTGCCTCAGTGACCCTTTCCCTGGTCCCATCTTG